CTTCTATGTGATATATTCTTTTTTTGTTTAATCCACATGCTTCCAAACTGAATATTTATATGACCTCAAGGAGGCGCTGTGCCTCTGACGAGCTTGAATAAGAGGCTTTTGCTGCTAAGAATTCCAATCCAAACAACCCCTGGGTAGAATGATTACAATGCGAGCAGAATCTACAGTATACCCCCCCTCCCCATGACCCCCCTTCCCCCTTCAGGAACCCTTTTGTACTTTTCGTTAATAGTCGAAAAGAGGCTGCTTCTCTCGTCCTCACGAAGCCTCGCTTGCCCTGCAGACGTTAACTGCACCGACCCGCGTTGAACTCTCACAACCTCGGGGAAAGGCTCCACTATCTGCCGGGCTGTCCATTAGGGATCCCGAACCAGCAACCAGCTGCGCTTCTAGCCTGGTTTGTTTTGACCCTCCTCCTCCTCCTCCCCCTGTCTTTTCTCTCCCATTAGAACAACGTCAGAACACTCCAGAGGGCTGCAGCCCGAAGGCCTCCGTTGTTTGATTCCAATGTCGAGCGCCAGAAAGGGAAAGTGATTGAATTCCTGCGTGCGTACGTGCATTGCGTGTGTGTGTGTGTGTGTGTGTGTGTGTGTGTGTGTGTGTGTGTGTGTGTGTGTGTGTGTGTGCAGGCCTATTCACTTTTCTCTCTCTGCTCCCACAGCGGCGCCCTACAAGTCCCACCTTCTTGTTGGGATTTTATCCCGAGGTTGTTTTTTCTTATCAGTTCAACTCTTTGGGAATTGCTCGATTCCTATGAACTGGCGCCGTTCTCTGACAAGATATGTAACGTTTGAAGAGACTTCCCTGAAGTTGATTCTTTCTTTCTTGTTGTTGTCTTTGTGAATCAATGAGAAGAGCAATTGCTGCTGCGAATGGTTTCAGCACCTCGGACAGCTCATTTAAAACAGCTTGCATCTCATCTTGGAGTGGTTGATGCAGAAGCAACGTTTGAAGGTTGGGGGTTCAAATCCAGGCTCGGGTCTCCCTATGTGGAGTTTTTGTTCACAATTTTAGTGTTGTCGTGTCGTTACGGTAATTACAAAATTAGGACGTATCTTGTTTTTATATTGAGCTAAGTAGAGTGCAGGTGTACCTAATGAAGCGTCTGAGAGGTGGATGCTGAACTAGATTTGAATATGTAAAAATGTCTCTTTCCTCTACCCTTAAATACTATATGATACCTGGACATATGGTGTCAAAAAATAATGTCAGATAGAGGGCAAGGTAAAAAAACGACAGTAGCTGTGTGAACCGGCTAGAGTGCGATAATCAGCAGGCAGATAGCAGATGACAGCCGCTACGGTTATTGATGACTTTTCATAATTAAAATGGCTTGCGTGTGAGGGCGGGTGAGCAAAGGGGTGGGGTGGAGGGGGGGGGGTCACCCAAAAGAACAAAAGGAGGAGAAAAAAAAGTGATAAATGGTCTTTCATCTTTAAAGCTGATAGAAGGCCCACTGCGATCTGCGTGAATATTGCTTTTCCTGCCTCTCGAATGGGAGGATTCAAAGAGGAGCTTTTGTGCTTTGATATTGCATCACACTGATTGGGCACGCATGCTTGAGTGTGAGCGTGGCTCCAAAAAAAGACAGTGACTTTCCCGGACAGGTCACATACTGGATACACTGAAGAGATAATTGAAAGGAATGGTTGGTATTCGAGTCTTCTGCTGGTGTTGCTCATGAGAATAAATCAAGGTAGAGTAGTCTTTTTTTTTTTTTTTTTGTGCAATGTGTGCCCTGTGACTGATTGGTGACCAGTGCAGGGTGCATCCCACCTCTCGCCTGCTGGGATAGACTACAGTTGACTTTGTAGTGGCTAAATGGCTTTTATGAAAAGACAACCCCCCCCCCCCCCGTATATCTTGAAGTCTTAAAGGGTTCCACTGTACGTTATAGACAATATCTTTTGTTTTGGAAGTGACTCTTTTGTTGATGCTAAGCCTGGTCTCCCCAGGAAAAAAAAAAAAAAACACTGCATGTGAGGAGCGGATGAAAGACGATGGTCTCTGAACAGACTTGAGTGGAAGATCAGACAGCAGAAGCGCCCTGGTGCTCATGCGCTCCCCTGCAGGCTGTGTGCACAACAAAGCCGCCAGCCTGGGAGCGCCGCTTGCCGTCCGCGTGGATGAGAGCGCCAAAGACGGCGGCGTGTTGCGAGGGAATTCCTGCACTTTGCTGCCATTGTGAGCGTTGCGCCTGCATGTGCGCTTGTGTGTGCCCGCATCCCAACCGGCTCAGCGGTGCCCTTCAAGGCTGCCGTGACATCACGCGTTCCCGTGCCTTGTGATTGGCCATGCGGCGGAGGGAAGGTCGCGCTTGGTACCAACAGTGGGAAACGAGGAGGGGAGGGGCTGAAGTGTGAAGAGAGTGAGAGAAAGATTGATGCTGAGGCAAGTCGGCACTGCACCGCACTCACTTACACACGCACACTTTTTTTGACACTGTTGTGCTGCTGAGCAGGAAGGAAAATTACTCGTACTGTACGACAGCAGGACATTAACTGTCGCCTCAAAGCGAGAGTTTCATAGGAGCTTTTGGCTCCCGGAAGAGTTGACAGCAAGGGCAGGAGCAAGGGCAAAGTGTAGCCCTGCTTCATTTTTGGGGGAGGATGTCCTCCCGACTACCCCATGAGAGGCGCAGACCGGGGTACGACGTGGCGAGACGAGCGGAGGGCTACACATCCCCGAAAAAGAACATACCGTTCAACCTTGTGACTGGCTTCTACCTCTACCTCCGTGGTGAGTGTGTAATCCGCTCTTGAGCGTGTGTGGGGGTTTGTAGCGGCGGCACTGCAGTGTACAATGAAGTCCAGAAGTATTTGGACAGTTGGTTGCACAAACGGCTGCCATTCCTCAATGGCAAGTACTGCACTTTTTGTGGGGACGCGAATCCCGGATCTTAATGTCTTTATTCATTCAAATCCATTGCGGTGGCAAAAATTCGGAAAAAAAAAAAAAAAAAAAAAAAAACAGAGATCACCGCTGTCCAAATACTTCTGGAACTGTCTTGAGTGAGTGCCTGTGGGTTTTAAGTCTTCCCCGCGGGGAAGATATTTGTTCAGCTGCAGGGTGTGTTCACATATATTTAAAGGAGCGGGCGGGGGGGGGGGGTACAGCGGGAGCCCCATCTGTAAGGACTTAAGAGATGGCAGGGTGGCAGGTTTGAGACCAACTGTGGGCTATGCTGATGTTAATTAGAAGGGGACACTGGAGAGATGCCAGTCTACAGCATAGACATTGTTGGAAGCGCCCTTAAGCAAGGCACTGAAGCTCTAAAAGTGCACAATTAGTAAGCCATGTTACTCAGTTGTGGAACGCGGTGGCTCTGCTTGTGCTTGACCAAATTGATTTAAGACCAAAAAAAAAAAAATTTGTCAAAAATGGCTTTTAATCAGAAATTTGATGGGGTTTTCTCATACAGTGATGCATTTTTTTTTTTTACATGACCACGTTCATATCACAAACCATCTTTCTCCATTGAAATGAATGGAAATGCAATTAATCTGTTCCAAATGTATGACTTATTTACTTTCTTATGCTTCTTCTGTGAGCTCTATTGGCAGTTGGCAAACCATTTTAATGCTGCTTTATCGCCACGCACTGGTATTGGCCTTCCGCTGCCAGGAAATCAATGTGAATTGATGGTTGAGTGAAGTTTTGAGTGATTTAAAAGGCATAACAAAAAAAAAAAAAGAGTTTATCTGCAGAACTCGGATTGAATTCTGTCAGGATTTTTAAACTCATTTCAAGACAATGTTTTATTTATCGAGATGTTTGCCCATGAGGTAAACCGGTTTGTACCTCCGCTTCCTCCAATTTGCGGCTACGCTTTGTTACCGCAGCAACCGCAGCCGCCAGGACAACCAAGCAGACCTTAATGATATTTCATTAAGATAAGAGGGCCGGCCGCCGTTGATGAGACTAATGATACAGACCGATGCCGCCTGAGAAGCTAATCAAGTGTGTTGAAATGCCGCTCGCGGGCTGGCTTGCTGAGCTTGCCTTTTTTTTTTCTCCCTTTGTACATATTGAATGGATGCCAGTGGGATCTCAAAGTCACCTCGTCCCACGAGCTGACTGCACCACACACAGGCATGCGCGCTCTTTCTTTTAAGGTGGCCGAAATCATTCTCATTTCCCCTTCCGATATTACCACATATCAATATTTGATCAGATCAAGAGAGAAAATTCATCCAGGAGGGACCTGCTCAGTGGCTCGTTGAAATGTGCCCATCTGCATTATGAATGACAAATTATTCACACGCAGACACACACCTGAGTGCCCATTGTACTCGGTGACCCACTAACCAACTTGTCTTTTAATCAAATCCTCCCGACTATTCATTAAAGTGGAGGAACTCCCTGTCTGCTTTCGGCTTTCACTGATGGCATCTCAAGGATATTGCAGTGGTGGCGCACAGATGAAACAGTGTCAGACGTGTCCGCAACTCAAACTTCATTCGACTCGTGTAGTCTACAACTCTGACTCTGGGTGCATGCGCAGTGTATTTGTTTAGCCATATACTGTGCACTGATGTATCGGGTGAACCTACCGCGCACTAGCGAGCTTGTTAGCTTGCAATAGCGCGAATATAGTATTTAATTTAAGCATCTTACGTATTGGGCGACCCTGCTGCTGTCTAGAGAGACAGTGACGCATCGGACGGAACTAAAACTGGTCTGCGAGGGAACTAGCGGCGAGTAGCTACAAGTGGCAGGCCAATTTGCAGTGGAGATGTCCAATTAGCCATCCGCTCGCAACGAACATTGGGCCTACTATGCTAGGATATTTTGTCGGTATGTACAGCTGACTCATTTTGAGGTGGAACTCAGAAGAGCATTTTTTGGTGGCGTCAAGAAGTGTTTTCAAACTGTCCTTTGAATGTCTATTTTGGTCCCGCTTTAATGTGAAAGCTCTCCAGCTAACAATATTATTCCCATCTCCTTTTTTGTCGATGACCGACGGTGACATTGTGTCTTCTGATTTACAGACGAGCAGGAGTCTGTGCAGAAGAGGACGTTCACCAAATGGATCAATTCTCACTTGGCCAAGGTAAGATGGCGTTCGATTCCCTCTGCCAGCAGCAGCGCCTGCATCGCCGCCCCCGCCGTCCCCGTCTACTAAAATCCCCCGCTTCAATCCAACTTCCCCATTCTTCTCAGCGCTTCGTGCGCTCGGGACATTTGCTCCATTTTCAAAACACATTGCTGAGCCGGTCATGGGGCCTGCATGCCAGGCAGTTAAGACCACCCGCACAAACACACGCCTCTTATTGTTTTCTTTCTCTCACTCTCGTTTCGCCCCAAGGAAAGCTTTTACACTCACTCTAATTACCGCTTTCACATGACAGCAATTAACCGAGTAGACTTCTTTGTTCCTGGAAGCTAACATTTGTCATTTAAGTGTCGATAACCCGCCAGGTCCTCCTTACCCATTTAGATGGAATCTGGATGAGAGTTTCGAACGTAATAAGCTCAGACAAACTGTAACTCTCACTCAGCATCTGCCCCCGATCCGGCTGCATACTAACGAGGCTTTATTACGGGGGTGTCATTGTTTTATTGCACGTTTAACTGCATGGGACTTGAGTAGCAGGTCCAAAATGTGGAGACAAGGTAAGTCCGTCACGCTGCAACACAAAGTATGATTTCATATTGTATTCAGGCAGCTGAGGAGACCTTGAGCCCTGGCGACGCGGTGCAGAAAATTCATTTGAAAAGTGCCCCCCCCCCCCCTCCCCTCGGGGAATAAACCTTGACGTAATATGAAATCTCACGGTTTGGGATCACGCTGGCGGGAAATTATCCGCAGCCAAATATATAGAAACTGCTTGAATTTTTAATGACGCCAAACATAAACGCATGGTTTATTTATGTACCGTTTTGGGGTAAAATGGAAATGCGCCTTTTTTTTTTTTTTTTACGCAGAGCACAAAAGTGCCTGTCTAGAAAATAGGGCCCTAAATGTTCGAGGTTTGAAGTTTTATTCGGCGCCAGGTTGTGGTGACAACACGTCATGAATGCCTTCTGTCTCTGGTTGTTTTGCCTCCGACGTGGTGATGTTCTGCATATCAAATTAGAGGCAAAAAAATGGAGCCAGAGAGGGCAGATTTTTATTTATTTATTTTTTTGACATTTGATATTTATCGCGCACGACTGTCAAATCATAATGACCATTTTAACCAATGTGTCATACTCGTCATTGCACTTCTGTCACCGTTTCTTCCATAAAAGTATCTGCCAAACCATCGACTGTACTGTACCTAATGTTGTGGCTGATATCCATCATAGTTCCAACCAAAAGCGCACGTCTCCCTCTCTAGTTGATTGCCCTGGTTGCTTCCTCCTGGTGTTGCCATGGATATGCTGAGTGGTCATGTGAAATGTCATTTCCAAAAAAAAAAAAAAAAAAAAACCCTGATGAACAGCAAGATAAGGTGAATGGAGTTCTTCTAAATTCGGAGATGCGCTCACCCTGCCGAGCCCCCCCATGAAGAAAGTTCCTGGAAACGACATTTAGTTGTAAGAGGCTTTTGGAGGAGAAGAAAAGTGTGCGCAATGAAAGAGACAGAGGAGCTTTAACAGTTGGTTGAACTCGGCTCTCCGAGGGATAGATCGTGCCCTCGGCTATGGAGATGATTAGGCCACAACCAGTTATCACAGGTCTTTAATTCAGCGCCTAAAGCTATGTGATTAATCGTTAGGTGAGTTGAGACATGGCTTTGAGGGGCGGGGGGGGGGGTTCCTTTTCACCCACCCGCTCCCCAAACTCTACAGGTATAACAAAAGACATTTCAGCATGTGAGAACCGCCAATTTACTAAGACGACGGATGAATCTTATTACACTTAGCGGTTCACCAGATTAAGTTAAGACACTCACGGGTCACATGATTAAGTCCACGCGCACTCTCTCACGAAAGTACAAAAGGTGGAGATTTATTATTATTATTTTTTTAACACTATGAATAATTTCCATGGATTTCAGAATTGGAAATTAGATTTGTGTTTTTGCATCGAGTGTCCATACTGCACTTGTATCTTAATTGTGTTTATCCAGAGAAATTTTTTTCTTCGCTCTTCAGATTAATTTAGTATCAGGCAGCCCCCCCCCCCGCATGGCGCTGGTGTGACATTTGGGTCGACTGTGGGGGGGATGGAAGCCAACGAGTGGGCTCCCAACTTTGCGTTCCGGCAAATCCCCTCTGAGACGGTTAAAGCTTAATTACCGAGTGGCCGGCGTGAGCGGCAGAGGTCTCGTCGTCACTGATGCGTCTCTTCAGTAAACAAGCTTCAGTACACTTAAGTGTTTTCGCTCAGATTACACTGCCAAGTGAAGCTCCCTATCTGGAAAGTGTCTGTGGGGGGGGTTACAGTGTCTAATTAGCCTCCCCCAAAATATGTTGTGTAAGCAAACACCCGCTCGATTAAGTACAGTTGGAGTCTAAATCTTTCAAGGTAAAACCTACACTAATATAACTGACAGGAGTAATGGCAGGAATTTGTCTGCTTGTGTCCAGCAAAAAAATGGGTTTGATTTCAAGTTGTCAAAATAAAGTCTCACGGCCATTCATGCAGTATATTGGAGTGGGTACAGCGCAAAGCTACAATTATGCACTCTTGTTTTTTGTGCTGCCGGAGGTTCCCTTGTGCACAGGTCCCCGTTGTGTAAAGCAAGATTATGCAAAAAAAAAAAAAAAATTGCAAAAACAACTACCTGGTCCAAGAACCCATTAAAATTGGCCTTGGCAGAGGTGTGCATCCCCACAGGGTGCCCCTCAGATTCAGGCCCAAATAGTCGTAATGATGCATACATTCAGCCAACTCTTTGTTAGGACCTGCACTCATCTCATCTCAGTGGAGAAAAATTATACTTCTGTGCTGGAATTAGTCGAGAAATATTACCACTTTGAAATGTTGCCAAAATATGATATGAATGGACAATGGGGGGAAAAAGTAGGATGATTGGAAATAAAATGTAATTCATCGAAATACAGTCAAACCTCGATTTTCGAACGTCTCTGTTCTTGACCAAATCGGTTTTCGACCAAAAATTTCGAGTATATTTCGGATTACCACCGATTCTCGACCAAACTGAGTGCACCTGAATGCGCCACTTGACTCCTCTCGCCTTCCTTAGACAAGGAAGTGACGCTTCCTCGGGTGAACGAGGAAGTGACGCTTCCTCGTGTAGTGTTCCATTGTGAGCAGAGTGTTCAATAAAGTTTTTTTTTTTTTTTTTAAAGAGCGTGGTTTCGGTTTTCGAAAAAATCGGTTTTCGAACACCCTTCTGGAACGGATCATGGTCGAAAACCGAGGTATGACTGTATTAACACTGGTCAACAGCAAATTTTAACCCGAGGTGGCATTCTGTGTACCTACCGATAAGTATAGACAGTATAAAAGCAACATCAAAATATGGTTTTTACCCTTCGTTGTAAAACAAAATGAGGTCTGTGGCCTACATTCGGACCGCTTTTGAAGTGACCAAAAATAGTTCCTTGGGCCTATACAGTAAAAGACGTACATTCGATTACTTTCGAAAAGCTTTTTATCGTTTCCTCCCCGCGTCTCCACACTATTGGACCTTGAGGACTCAAACAAGACGACACACGCGCATCCCCCTGAGCACCTCCGCACACAATCAATTATGACACCAGACACTCATGTGTAATTAGCTCATTAAGACGCTTGATTTATTATTATTTTTTTTTCTTTTTCGTCTTAGCTCGCGTGGCTCAGCAGAGGGAACGGATATCACTTTCTTATTTTTGTAATTATCCCCAAATACCCTCATTAGCCTGGGGATCATCAAGCACCAAAAGCTAAATTTAACTTCAATTACCCCGCGAGGGGAGGGGGGCTGCGGGGGGGGGGAATTTAACCCTCTGTACTTGTGTGGTGTCTTTTGGAAGGAGTCACACGTGCTTTTCTGTGTGTTTTAATAACCATAGCCGCGAAATGACATTAGAAGAAAAGCCTTAACTGCGTTGAACTAATTAATTTTGTAGAATGTGAGGCTTGGGGGGCTTCAGCTATTTTTTTTTTCACTCTGTCCTCTCTCATCTGTCTCGCTGCCACTCTTTTCTGCTCGATTATGCCCCCTCTTGCACATACACTTGATGGGTACACGCACGCGCGCACACACGCAGTCCTTTTCCTCCGCTAATCTTCCTGTGAATGAACACCCCTTCCGTCTTGAAAGCGCCCCCCCAGCATGTGACTCTTGAGAGAAATCCTTGATGTGGCGTTGGCAAAAAACAGAGATATGTGGAGCCCCCCTCACAGTCTGCGAGGTTAGCGAGGGAGTCAATGAGAACGGGATCCGGTTTGACATCATCAGCATATTTTAGGATTTGAAGAGCCCACTTAGAGCCCGTTGAGCCCCTCGCTGACTCCACTTATCACACACAAAATGCCACACGGGGAAGACAAAAAATGCTTTTGGGGGCTCAGAGGACATCCATAGGAGGATTTCCTGTTTAAATGAATGTCTTCTAATGTCGCACTTGGACTTTTTAGCACTCAGCCAGGATATTTTGCAGAAAAAAAACCCAGCTTTTATACATACTTTCTCAAAGCGAATGGAAGTCTAGCTTTCAAAATGTCTCGGAGTTTTAGAGTTCAAAAGTTTGATCTGCAGAACCATGTATGAAAAGGCCGACACAGTAAAGACTCTTTGCTATGTTCTTTTGTCTCGACAGCGTGTTCCACCTCTCGTCGTGACCGATCTGTTTGAGGATATCAAGGATGGGGTGAAGCTGCTCGCCCTGCTGGAGGTCCTCTCCGGCCAAAAATTGGTGAGGCTCAAGTCCCTTCGCTTAGATGTGAGAGCGCGCGCGTGAAAGGTGATTGCCTATCGGCTAATCTTTAAGGAGCTAGCGAAGCGCATGTGAACGTGGAGCATCGTCCGCTTCCACGTGGAAATGGGCGCATTGATCGCTGCTTCTTCGGATGTTTAAATGAATAGAAAAAAAGGCAGATTCACAAGGACGCATGAGTTTGGCAACACACACACACACACACACACACACACACACACACACACACACACGTAAACATACACACGTACATAAATAGCTACGTGTGTCAATATTGCCTCAGGTCCAAGTGATCTGTGGTCTATTGATCAGGGTGCAGTTTGGATTGGGCGGGAACTGAATGGATCTCTTCTCACTGGTGTATTTTATGTTTCTCATTCGGATATTTTACTGCAACTTCTAAAAAAAAAATCCCCTCACTTCAATTTCAGAGTTTTGTCCATTCTCTTTTCGCATCCCCCTCCCGCCCCCTCCCTCCCCTGTTGCGCCTTGTAACCCCATTGTTGTCTTGCTCTTCCCTGTAGCCATGTGAGCAGAGCAGGAAGCTAAAGAGGATCCACTGGGTAGCAAACATCGGCACCGCTCTCAACTTCCTCCAGGGCAGGAAGGTAGGAGAGATGCGCTCCTCTTTTTATCTTTGTTGCTCCTCCTCGTGGCATTTTTTTGCGTTTGCCCCATGGGTGCCAAACGTGGAAAATAAGCTTGACCTTTCACTTCTTTCCTCCCCGCCTTCCTTTATCTCCACCTGCTGAAATCATCAGTCGATACAGTCAGACTTTGGGTTCACGCTGACTCCGCCTCTCACATCGGGACCCACCCGCGACATAGGAAAAAAAAAAATTCTACTTTTTAGTCCTCGGCAGTCCTCTTCTTCTCCCTTGCCAGCGTGATGTGCACAATTACATAAACTAATTACAAACCGCTTCAGTAAACGGCGCCTTCAATGAGATTAGTCACACATATTCAAGGAATCCCCCTTTCGTCCCCCCCGCGCGCACACCCATCCCCGTCTCGTCCTCGGATATCCAAATAAAGCCATGAGCAGGCGTCTGCAAGGACATTGATTTCCCCTCTTCCTCAAGTGTGACAGGGTTAAACCATAAATCCTACACCAGTAATCTGCAAGCGGGAGATGAGACGTCAGCAGGCTCCTTGTGTGTGTGTGTGTGTGTGTGTGTGTGTGTGTGTGTGTGTGTGTGTGTGCGTGCGTGCGTGCGTGCGTGTGTGTGTGTGTGTGTGTAAATCCAAAGTTTCAAATTAAATGTAAACACACACCGGGTGTAAATCCAATGTATGTCTCGACTGTGTTGACGCAAAATGCTTCAAACATCTTTGTGCATGCTTGCATGTGTCGAATTACATTTAATTTTTATTTCCAAATGAATGTTATGAAAATCTTTTTCACTCGTCCTCCAAACAGGTCCAATAGGGCTTCCCTTTTTTTATTATTATTTTTTTTTTTGTGATCATCTTCTTGAAAATTCTTAGCCTCGAGGTGTGTCCTTATCCCAATGCTGCCCAAACAACCTGCTGTGTTTTCCATTATGAACTCATGCTTTTCTTATCAGGATCCCCATACTGACCCCCTCCTGCCCCCCTGAGATTGCCCTCGCACGACCCCAGCTTTATACCTTCCATGTTCACCCACTCCAAGTGTTGCTTATTACCAAACGATCACCTGTTGTGCTACGGCGCCTCCGTAATAAGCTCTGTGATAGGATATTGAAAATGGATCACGACAGATCTCCACATACAGCACACTGCCGGGGGGGTCTCCAATGCCTCATAGCCTGGGGTCTGTCATCACATGCTCAACAAGGCGTCCATCTTTCATCAAACACATCTAGAGTGCCTCTCATGTCTGTTTTTTTTTTTTTTTCTCGATTCTCTAGTCTGCCTACAGGGGATCACCGGTTAGTACTGTCTCTGTTTGTCATGCATTGCAATGTTGTGTATTATTATTATTATTCTTATTATTTTTAACGCAACACAATCTTTATTTGAATTCAGATCAAGCTGGTGAACATCAACTCAACAGATATCGTTGACGGTCGACCGTCAATTGTGTTGGGTTTGGTGTGGACTATTATCCTCTATTTCCAGGTAAAATTAGTCGACGTGCTCAATTCATGTGGCAGGATAGCATCGGCGATGTCTTGGAGACCAGAATTTAAGGCTTAAAAAAAAAAAAATGTAGATACTATCACCATACATATTTTTCAAGGCAGGAAAAAAAAAAAAAAAAAAAAAAAAAAAAAGCTAATAGAGCGGAACAGAAAAGAGACAAAATCTGCCGAAATCAATTTTTGCACTCCGTCCACGCTGGAAGAGAGCAGGCGCCACCTCGGGCGTTTTTCACACATGCTCGCATCTACAAGAGCTTAATAAAAGTGACTGAACTCTCTACACAGCGCAAACACAACATGTAGCCACGAGGTTGTTGAAAAATACAGATAAAGGAAGTACTTTCACATACTGATAGCATATCGATGCACTTAACGGACTGTTTGATTTTTATGTTCTCTTCTCTCGTTTCCCCTGCAGATCGAGGAGCTGACTTGCGGTCTCCCAGAAATCCAGCCCCCGTCAGGCAGCTCTTCCTCACTGAACGGCTCCGCCAGCAGCGCCGACAACGCCAGCCCACCCGTCAAGAGGAAGCCCCTGCCCCCCGTACAGGGCAGCGCTAGGAAGGCCCTCCTCAGATGGGTCCAACAGACAGCCACCAAGTGTGTAGTCTGCCGATTAAACCACGCCGAGTACAGTCGCTCCCCCATTTCGGCGCCGTGTTTGTTTGTTTTGTCATGGTTGCTGTGATAAAATTCAACGGTAACGCTCAGTTGCGTCCCCTATTTGCTAGGCGTCTGGGAATCGAGGTGAAAGACTTTGGTCCCAGTTGGCGAACGGGTTTAGCCTTCCTTGCCATCATCCATGCCCTTCAGCCCAATCTGGTGGACATGGAGCGTTCAAGAAAGAACCGCAACCGGGAAAATCTGCAGGAAGCTTTTCTGTTAGCTGAAACACAATTGGGCATCGCACAACTCCTCGACCCTGAGGGTATGTCACATTTCCTTCTACATTTCCTTGATCCCACAAAAATCCACAAACATTTGTCTGACTTCAAATTAGTCGAACCACCTGGCCCAAATTAACTCAGTCAGTACCAGCCAATTCTAGACCAAGTCTGAAAAGACATTTAAAAACGTCTTTGGGAGTGAATGAGAGTTAAGTTACCGGTACTTGAATGGTTGAAAAAGTCACATTCTCATTTTTCCTGTGTCCATGAAAAAAAAAAAAAATCAATTGTTGAATAAACACAAGAGGAAAATGATGGGCGTCAGCTTGAACATCACATTAGCAGTCATGCTGCCCAACCATCTGTGCCCGCTCATGCCAGCTCCCCCAGAATAAACGCTGACAAATCAAGCCTGACATCAGAGTAATTGAGGTTCATTAGGCCATGACATTCGCAGACTGTGGAAAATAGTCCAAAGACGATTTGGCTCCGAAGCGCGGAAGGGTTGATTTCATATCTGCTTGATGTCCGACGCCCGCTCCCCCCCACCCTCCGGGCTTCATTTGTCAGACGTGGACGTGGACAAGCCGGACGAGAAATCCATCATGACATACGTGGCCCAGTTCCTGAAGCATCATCCTGACGGAGAGCGTGGCACCTCAGAGGGACGAGCGGCAGAAGAAGAAGAGGTGGAGGAGGTAAACAGCTGTCACGGTGATCTCATTTTCTTTTCACGGCCCTTGTCTTTCCCACCAAACGTGAACCGTGGCGTTCTTCACTTGAAGCCCAAATGCATAACTGCACATTTGTTGTGCCGCCCGTTGTTGATGTCTCAGCTTTGCACGTATGTCTCTGCTTCTGCCTCACATCGTGTCTCGCTCGTGTGCTGACCCGCCGTCCTTGTCTCGCCGCTTGTCGTGCAGGCGCCTGTCCCGCGGCGTGAGCTCCTCGCTCCTCGTGATATCGAGGAAATGCTGGAGGTAGGGGAGGCGGTTTGACGTCATCCTTCCATCTCTCCCGTGACCAAACGCGCTCTCAGATGCGATGTTACCTGATGTCATATCACATGAAGCCCGCGGGTGTTCTGAGCTATGATTGCAATATGACAAGAAGTCATAGATTTGGTCTAAATGTTACCACTTGGTTACATTAACATAACAATGAAAGCCTCCGGCATTGGTACTTTCTGTATTTGATGGTGAGCTCACGCTTTGTGTCGCATTTTTGGGGCATTGTTTTGATATGAGTAATCGCAAAATAAAGTGCCGCACAAAATAAAGATGTTCAGTCTAGAATTAGTTTGAAGATTAAGCCGTCATTAAGTATCAAGTGTGTGAGCGGGTTTTCCACGGGAAGAAGTGATAAGGCTGAATAAGACTGAGTATTATCGTCATGGCGACTTGAAATGCTGCTCGGGGATCTGAGACCAAATAGTCTGTTTAAGCAGAGTGTTTCTGCCAGCTGTGACTGTTTTGACATTTTGTCCAACAGAGAACCACGCAGGATTAAGCCATGCATTTTTTTAACGGTACCGCTCTCACCCTCTTCATCCTTTCCCGCCTCCATCCTATCATCAATCCTTCAACTTTGCCCCCCCCCCCTTCGCTTGTCTTTGTCTGCTTTTCATTTCTCCACTTGTCCCCATTTTCCATATCCATATTCCCCCTCATCTCTATACCCCCCCCCCCCCCCCCCCCCCCCCCACCCCCCCCCACAGCGCGACACCA